CAAAGAATTACATACAGTCGACCGAGTGAGATTTAACCCAGGAATCCAAGTTTGTTTTCATACCCCAAAATCAAGCAGTACCATAACAAACAAAACAAAACAAAATAGAAACATGGGAAGAACTTCCTCAACCCAATAAAGGTCATCTACAAAAAACCCAAACATAACATCATGCTTAACTGTGAAGATCTGAAATATGATCGCACGTCGAAAATACGGAGGCCTGTAGAGGAAAAAAACATGCCCACACCTACTTTCTTTTACATGGACAACAAAACGTCACCCTGGGTATAAAAGATTAGGAGATGCCCAAGTGATTTCTTTGGGATCAGTGTACAAGCATGAAAATCAGGTGGTACACCCCAGGAACCTCCACACAGAAATCCCCGAAAGGAGGCCTTCTGACCCACGGCGAACAGGCTATTTACCCCCTCGAGAGTAGTGAGGGCTGTAGAATTTCAATAATCGAACTCACTGGCTAAACCAGCATTACCACACAGCTGCAAAACCCTACAGAAATTGCAGACAGGCTATTAAACTAGGATTTATGAAGTCAGCTTTTGTCCACCCAAGTGATTACAATTTAATAAGTTCGCCTACTTAGCTCTGAATTGGACACAACCGGTCAGAAGAATGTGTGAAAAATAAGCTTATGAGAAGACTTCGTGTCTCGTATCCGAATAGGCCATTTACTCAATTATCAAACAATTCTTTAAAGTCCAGTTATAGGCACTTCGGGGAATATAAAATGGTGTTAAATGTGGGCTCTGCCCTCTGGAGGCTTATTGTAACCTAATACGTGAACCAAATTCGTACACAGATACCTATATCCAAGCATCATGGAGGCACAAATAGAATACCGTGGAGGTCAGATTTGGGGAAAAGTACTTACTACTAGCTAGGGAGAAGGCATTAAAAAAAAAAAAAAAAAAAGTAGCACTTAGGCAGACTTTACAGTCTGGACAGAAAGGAGGACAGAAACGCACAAAAAATGTACATGGAACAGAACGTACATCACTTTGATTAAAGTGTGTTAAAAGCAAGGTAAAGAGGCTGGATGTAAGAAATATATAGGTCAGATAACGAATAGCAAAATACCTCTGAGCTGGGATCATGACAATATGTGGAGACTAGCTTTAATTGGATTCAATTAGCCAAATACTTCCTGTGTGCCGGACATGGAGAACTGGGGGACACAGATACAAGACAGGAGGGCAGATATTAGACAACTGTAATACTCCAATGTCAGTTAACGAGGGCCAGAACGAGGATAAAGATCAGAGAAGTCAAAAGTACCCAAGGCAGGTACTTCATCTGTCCTGTGCAATTGTCCCCTCTGCACCTCAATAGCGAATTTGAGAAATCTGAAGTCTCTTTGTGTATTTTAACCAGGTCAAAATAAATTTTAGAATCCGTTCCTAAGACTTCCAAGAGAATAGATCATGAGTGCCATCCTTTTGTTCTCTTCAGATTGGAAGAAGAATGCTAAATTAAGGGTAGCACAACTCCTCGTACAACAAACCCTAGCCTTCCGGGAGCCTAAATCATTCATTTCATCTTCTGGAAGTTTTGAGGATAATATAGTAGACACAGTTTACAAATCCACCCGTTCATTCCATCATTCATTCAGTCAGTATTTATCTTCAAAGTACTGCATGACTCCAAATGTTCTATGCGGTGGGATAGGAGGAAAACAACCCAGATACCTTTCCGTCATAGAGATAAATAGTCTAGAGACACAAACCGAAAATGAACGAAGATTACATCAGTTTGTATAAATGCTACAAAGCAAAATAAGTCAAGATGCAGGCAGAGAGAATGATGGCGGCGCTACAGATAATTCAGATATGCTTTTCATGATTGATTTGAATGTAGGATTTTTCACCTTTTGAGACGTACAGGTAAAGTTTTCATGAAAAATTACAAATAGAATGCATGCACACCGTACTGGTTCAGTTACCTAAGCTTATTTGATGATTATCATTCCACTAAGTGATTTGTTGTGTGACCAAATCATTCACATCAGTAAGTTATTTTAAACATTTTATAGGCACAATCAACATGAATGGTTTGGAGAAGTCACATTCTTTACTCTCTATACTAACAGATAATGTTCTCATACAGGACTGCATCTTTCCCGGGCTACATTGCACCCTGCATTCTCTGTTCACTAAAGAATCCCCTGTTCTTAGTCACTTTGTCTAAGATGTTGAAAAGAGATGTAGCTAGACTAATCCAACAACATAAAAAAGAAAAAAACCTTCACATATTCCCTGCCCTGTATCCAAATTTCTTGTAAATTTCCCCACCTATCTTTCCATAGTTAGTACTGCCACACTCATTATCTCCCTCCTGAAACAATTATTTCTCTCCTTGTTGATTCACCTTTCCCAAAAGGACTAGATTAATATTCCCAAAATATGACTCTAATCATGTTTCTTACCTCTCGAAATCCATGATGCCTCCTCATTGCTCATGGAGTTACCGACATGTCTCCAACAGCAATTACGTAGTGTATTGCGAAACCTCCAGTACCATTTGTCCAATGCAGGTTGGCTGTCACACTATGTCTGCTCCCAACTCAAGTGGCAATTGATAATCTGTGTTTTTATTGTAGTGGTTCATCTCTCAACTCTTCTAAACACAGTACGAGGAAAGAAGAAAGCCTTAAACTGGTAAGTATCAATCTCAAGATAAAGAAGAGGAAAACAAAACCAAACAAAGATGAAAAAGAAAAATCAATGAGATAGGAAAAAAAATGTACAAAAAAAGAATTAGCAAAACCCAAAGTTGATTCTTAGAAAAGACTAACACAAATGATAAATCCTTAATAAGATCACTCAGGAAAAATAAATAGGCAGGAATCACCCATGTCAGTAATGAAAAGAAAAGTCTATACAGGTTCTATAGACAGCAAAATAAAAATATATCAGGAAAATCTTTATGAAGATATAAAAATTTATTAAAAATATTAAAAGAATACATTCCTAGAAAAGCTCAATAAACCAAAACTAACAAAAGAGAGAAAATGCCAGGCTAAGATGGCTTTACCAGTTCATTCTCCAGAGAAGAGAAAAGATATTTCCCACTTCATTTAATGAAGTCACCATTACTCTGATAGAAAGTTTTACAATAACACCAAAAAAAATTATAGGGCAGTCTCTCTCATAAACATAGATGCAAAAATCCTAAATAAAATATAAGAAATGCAGTGTTATATGAAAGGGATAAAATACAAGCAGACTAACTAGGAATGAGATATTACTAACATTTTAAAAGATCCCAATATACATATATATACACACACACACACATATATACATAGCGTGCTTATAGGCTGTGACAATGTCCTTTATCCACAAGTTGATCTATAGATTCAATGCAACTTGAATAAAAATCCCCTTGAAAATATTTACAAAATTGACAAGCTGATTCTACAATTTATATGGAAATGCAAAGGGACAAGACAATCTTAAAAGAGGACTAATGGATGACTTACACTATTGTCTATAAAGACATTTTACAGCTACAATAATGAGAAGTACGCATTTGGCTTAAAGACAGATAGGCTAAAAAGGAGAAACCAGAAACACATTCGTACACACATAGTCATTTGATTTATGATACAGATATCATCGCAAGGCAGTATAAAAGGTATTGTTTCTTCAATCAATAGTTCTGGGTCAATTTACTATATACTTGGAAAAAATAAGCCTTTATCAGTACCTGAAACTATACATGAACGTCAATTCCATATGTTTTCCAGCATGAAAAGTGAAACAAGTCTTCATACACACACAAATATATACATATATTGGAAATTATCTTTGTGGACTTGAGGTATTCAAAGATTTAAAAAAAAATTTTTTTAACGTTTATTTATTTTTGAGACAAAGAAAGACAGAGCATGAACGGGGGGAGGGTCAGAGAGAGAGGGAGACACAGAATCGGAAGCAGGCTCCAGGCTCTGAGCTGTCAGCACAGAGCCCGACGCGTGGCTCGAACTCGTGAACCACGAGATCATGACCTGAGCCGAAGTCGGACACTTAACCGACTGAGCCACCCAGGCACCCCGAGGTATTCAAAGATTTATGAAGGCTATAAAACAGTAGTGGTAAGAGATAATATTCATAAATTGAAACTTTTATCAAAATTTATCAATGGGAATATGAAAAGGCAAGCTACAGCATTGAAAACAATATTTCTAACATATCTGGCAAGATTCATGTACAGGATATATAAATACTCTTACAAGTCAATAAAAAAAATTAAACTCAATAGAGAAATGACCAAATGAATTGAACAGGCATTTCACAAAATATTCTGGTTGACAATAAACATGGAAAGCTGTTCAACATCTTTTGCCATGAAAATGCAATTCAAACTACAATGGGATACCATCATATACAGTCACCAGAATAGCTACAATCAAAAAGATAGCCGATATCAACTGATAGCAACAATATAGAGCAACTAACATTCTCATGCACTTCTGTAATGTGTTCATTGGCCTACTGCCTTCGGAAAACTTTTTGTTAGTGTCTACTGAAGAGATCCTACAATCTGGCAATTGTAGTCCTAAATGGATAGCCAAGATAAATGTGTGCACGTGTGGATGAAGACACGTACAAGAGATTACATAGAAGCACTATTACTTTTAGCGTATGAAATCATTTGTTGGAAGACCATTGCAGTTTACCATAGGGAAAGACTTGACGGCAGATGAACAGAAGCATTATTGTAATAGCTCCAAACTGGATACAACCCTGATGGGGAAATAATTTTCATATAGTAATCAACGGAGTACTTACTATACATCAATGGAAAATAGATGAATCCATGCTACATGTAAACTATGGATGAAACTTGGAATAGAAGAATGAGCAAAGAAAGAAGTACAAAGTAGCAAATATTGTATGAAAATGTAATAATGTCCTTTTGACATTACACACACAAACGTAACATCAAAAACAGACAAAAATAGTCAATGGTATTAACTACAAAGATAATGGTTATTTATGGGGAAGATAGGCGAATATCTACTAAGGGTAGGAAGGTATCTTATGACATTCTATTAATACTTTATTTCTTAATCTCAGTTATTTGGGGGAATGTAGAGGTGAACTTTGACAGCTATGTTACGAGTGTGGATTCTTACAACGGCCTCAGTCATTCTTTCATGGGAGCTCATCTCTGGAAGAATTCATGAGCTCCATTGGGAGAATTTCCATTATTTGGAGGATTTTGTTTTCCCTTTTCTCATATGTCTATCTCTAGAGAACTCTGGAACATATTCTCACATTTCAAACATTTCTCTGATAAATGGCATTATTGTGACTGTTCTCCACGGAAGACTAAGACACTGGGGATCACAATACCTCCACTTTCCCACTGCATCTCATTACTCTAAACAGTACCCGTTCACTCTAGGTCATGGCATACATAAGTTACATACAAATGTTATCTTTTTAATTAAAATTTTTTTTGAATTGAATATTGTTTTTATTAAAAAACAGATGAAGGATGGTACAGCCATTATAGGAAACGGTATGGAAGTTCCTCCAAAAATTAAAAATAGAACTACCATATGTTCCAAAAATTCCATTTCTGGGTATATATGCAAAGGAAATGAAATCAGGATCTTGAAGAGATAACTGCACACCCATGTTCGCTGCAACATTATTCACAATAGCCAAGATACAGAAACAACTTGCATGGAATATATATTTTGTATCCTTATTATCAATCCCCATAACTTAAATCCTAAAATCAGGATTTTGGTTATTGTTTTGAGTATTTATGATTGATAAGCAATTACATGTATAAGATAAACAGAAATGCATCCATTCTTCTGCACAATATTTGTTCAGTGCTTATTATGTGCGTTAATCTTCTCTAATTCCCACAACAACCCTGTGGGGTTTATTCTCACAAGGGTGTGAATGTGGAAATTGAGAGAGAGCTTAAGCGACTTGCTCAAGGTCTAACAGCTGCAGTGTAGATATAAAAATTGTAGACCCTGCATTCGTCTCTCTGCCTTCAGAGACTACTCTTTCCACTGTGATGCACACATTCTCTCTCTCTGTGCTAAGAGTGAATGGAACAGAGGAGTACCCCAGGAAGAGGTGATCAAGGAAAGCCTGGCAGAGTAGGTGGCTCAAGGGGAAAATTTAGAGAGTTAGAGCAAGCCACCTGAACAACTGACGAAAGAGAAATCCACCTACAGACAGACATTAACTTGTTCCGGAGTCGGCTACATTCATAAAATACAAGCAGTAGGTTTCCTCCCCAAATTAATACAGTGAAACCCTACTCCTCGATGTGATAATATTAGAGAAGGGAGAGCCCTTAGGAGGTGATTAAGATTAGAGGAGGTCATAAAGGTAGAGCCCTCACGAACGGGTTTAGTACCCTTTTTAGAGTCAGGAGAGTTCTTGCTTCCTCCGCTCCCCCACCACGTAAAGATACAAGTCAGCAGCCCAGAGCTCAGAAGAGGGCCCTCACCAGAACCCAACTATGATCTTGGACTTCCAGCCTCCAGAACTGTGAGAAGTAGCTTTCTGTTGTTAATAAGCCCCCCTCCCCCAGCTATGGCATACTTGTTATATGCCTGAACAGACTAAGACAGGCATCATAGCTAAAGTTTAGTGTGGAAGGGAAGGCATCTGATTCAAGGCAGGGGTGACATCATAAAGAATACATCTATATTAAGGGCTTTGAATGTCACCCTGATGGTGAAAAGCCAAATTCAGATGGTCTTTTAAGTGATCACCACCACATTAAATGACTCCACACTATTTCAATAATCCGGATGCTGAGTGCCTTTAAAAACTCAAATATACTACTACTATATCCAAATATTGACCAATTATTACAATTGTTCCAGAGTACCCACCACTCTTTAGCCCCTTATCCTCAATAATGATGGCCTACACCCGACGATCTGCATACTCCACGCCTACAATGAACATGGAAGATTACTAACAACTCCATGGGCAATTATCTCTCAAATTATGATCAATAATTTTAGATTGGGCCTTAATGCTTTCAAGTAATCCTAGTATTTTTTCTTTTTTGCAAGTCAGTTCTTTCTCCCACCTTTCTAGACTAGTATTCCAAACTTTTTTCCACCTTTTCAAACTTCCCACACTCCCTCTCCACTTCTCATTCTCAGCAGATAATTCTGCTTCCTATTTCACCAGGGATGTTGAAGAATTAGAAAAGAATTTCCAAATGCTCCCACCATCCACACACACCCACCTACCTACATCTGTGCCTATGTAGTCTGTGCCAAATTAGAGACATCTCTACGGCAATTGTTCCCTATTTCTTCTACAGAAACAATTTGCTCTCTCTGATGGATCATTCTAATCAGCATTAAGACACACACACACACACACACACACACACACACACACAGATCAGTTCTCCAAATTAAAAATATACCCTTCGTAAGCTCATTTTTCTTTTATTTACAGCTCTAGTCCTTCTTATATACAGCACAATTTGAAAGCATTGTGTATAAGGTGAGCGCAATCTCTTCCCCCCATCCCTTCTAGAACCCATTTAATCAGGTATTTTTCATCTATCATTCTCTGGATGGTCGCACCTGATGTCCTGACTTTACCATTCAAATGCTGACTGCCAAATATATACTTTCGAGCACTCTCCTGATCCTCTAGACGCATATGGCAAACGGCATTCTTAACATCAGTACTTGAATGTCTAATAGACGACTTAATATAACCAAAGGCCCTGATGTTCCCTTCAAATGAAGTCCTTTTGCAGTGTTCCTCATTTCAGATAATGGCAAATCTTCAAGTTGTTTATGCCAAAAAATTGTTTAGTCATCCCTGACTTCACTCACTGTCACATCTCACATCTAATGTTGTACAAAATTTTGTTGACTGTAACTTCAAAAATACATCTAAGATCCAATCATTATTTATCACTCTCTGTAACAGCACCACCCTAGCTCAAGCCAACAATCATTATTTCTTAATTGGATTATTGCAATAGCCTTCAAATTGATTTCCTGCCCTCTGTTTTTGGAAGTCTTTTCTTTCTACGCTCAATACAATAGCTAGAGTAATCACATTAAGTGTAAGGCAGGATAGGTTATTTCTCAGTTTGAATCCTGCAAAAGCAACCAATTCCCCATAAAGTAAAAGGTTAAGTCCTTACTAAATCCCACAAGAGGCATATTGGCCTCTGTGTACTTTTCCAACCTCCTCGCCAACAACTCTTGCCATCCCTCACTACTCTCCATCTACACTGGCTTTCCTACTATGCTTCCACCACAACGAGCAAGCCCATACCTACATGTCTTTGTCCTTTCTATTCCCTTCCAATTTCCTCCCTGCAGATATCCGTATGGCAACCTCCCTCATTCCACTCAGTTCTGTACCCAAAGGTCACCTGCTCAGGTCATCTGCTTCCAGTTAGGATGTAGAAATCTGTAAAAAGAACACCGCTCCCACCCCAACAACTAAAGAGAGCCAGATAGTCTATAAAAATCATAGTTTAAAACAAGAAACAAAAACAAAAGCAAGCAAACAAAATATCAGAAAGCTGAGATCCAAGAAACCTCACTTCATGGAAGAGAAGAGGTCCATGATTATTTTTGTCCACGGTGGAATAGTGGTGAAAGAAAGTATTTTTCCACAGACTGGGATAAAAAACTAGCCAAAAGTTTACTAAGCTGTAATGCCCATATATTGGCTGGGGTGATCAATTAGAATTTCAAAGATCCCTCAAAACAGAATGAGATTGAATCCATCTGTCAAATCTTTCCCAAGAGTCTTCACGGAGTACACAGAGGGGTCTTCACAAAAGCTAGGGTAATAGCACAAAAGTTCAGAGAGATCCTTTGTAGCTACTCTAGTTCTTAGTAAATCTGAAGCAAGGCAATTTTTTTTCTGAAGACTGTTGGCTGGGCAGATCCCTAAAATACAGAAAGCCTGGAGCAGGAATGGAAAGCAAGGAGAACTCTGAAATTACCCTAAAAGGTGGCAGCCATGCTGGAGAACAGAAAAAGATCTCGGACAGTCAGGGAAACACAAAGGGAGGTAACCCATATTCATGGATAGGAAAACTCAACACTGAAATATTTAGTCTCCCTGCATTTATCCACAGATTTAATACAATCCCAATAAGAATTCCACCAGACATTTTTGAAGAAGTTGGCAAGAGGATTCAAAAGTTCAAAAAGCAGAAGGACGTAGAATAGCCAAAACAGTTTTGAAAAAGAACAAAATCGGAATGATTATCTGATTTAAAAACATATTATAGAGCTACAGTAATCAAGACACTGCAGTACTAGCTTAAGGACAGAAATAAAGGTCAATGGAACAGAACAGAAGGTACAGAAAGAGACCAATGTATGTTCCATGAATACACCAAGTAATTTTCATTGGGAAAGGAAAACCTTTTCAGCAAATGGTACCAGAACACACGGGTATCTGTGTGGAAAAAAGAGAACTTGGACCTTGTACCATAAATCACAACCCAAACATAAATCCCAGGATCATAAGCCTTCTAGAAGAAAGCATAGAACACTTCCCTGACCTTCATGTACGTTAGATTTCTTGACAAATTAGAAAAGCACTAGCTTTAAGAAAATGTTTAGATAACATGGGCTTCATTAACTTTAAATTTCCTTTTCAACAAAAACCACAATAAAATAGGCAAACCCCATACTGAGAAAAATAATACATATATCTGATAAAGACTCTTATTCAAAATGCATACAAAACTTCCAAAAGTCAAAAACAAAAAGGCAAATGATACAATAAAAATTATGCAAATAAACAGCTATTTTTTAAACAAATGGCCAATAAACACACGGAAAGGCATTCAACATCATTAGTCATAAGGAAAATGTACATTAAAACCACAATAAACTATCACTACATACTCTCTAGTACAGCTGTAATAAAAAATTATCCACAATACCAAATATTTGCAAGGATGTGGAACAAGTGGAATTCTCATGCATTGCTAATGAGAGCATAAAATGATGATTTTGGAAAACAATTTGGTAGTTACTTGTAAAAGCTAAATACACATATACCCTACGATAAAGAAATCCCAGTTGTATTTACCTAAGAGAAAGGAAAACATGAGTCTACAAAAAAACTTTAATTGCTATGATCAAAGCAGTCCTATATATAAAAGCCTAAAACAGGGGCGGGGGAGAGCCTGGGTGACTCAGTTGGTGAAGAGTCCTTAAGCGTTTCAGCTCAGGTCATGACCTGGCAGTTCATGAGTTCGAGCCCTGCACGGGGCTCTGTGTTGACAGTGTGGGGCTTGTTTGGGTTTCCTTCTTTCCCCCTCTCTCTGCCCCTCCCGCACTGGTGCTGTCCAGGGTGTCCCTCAAAAAAAAAAAAAAAAAAAACTAAAACAAAAAAAAAAAAAAAAAGCCGAAAACAGAAAGAACACAAATGTCCATCAACACAAAAAAAAGTTATGAAAAACTCACGTTGAATGCTATCCATCCATGTGAAATAACCAACTGGTGCAACCTGCACAACTCCGAGAATCTCACCCACGTTATCTGGAGCAAAAGCAGCGCGGTAACTACAGGCGCACGTACACGTAAACATACCACCCAAACGCTGCACACTTTCACTACCATCAAGTCCAAGAACAGGCAAAACTCTGCTGGAGTCATAGATCAGAAGAGCAACTGGTTGGGGGGGGGGGGGGCGGGGAGGGAGAAGCACTGACTGGTGCTAGCAAAGAGATCTTACGGGGACGTGGAAACGTTCCGCATCTTGCTTCAGGTACTTGGGGCATGAGCATATACAATCGTCAAACTTCTTAGCTGTAAAAAACTTAAATGCACATGTTAATTCTTGGAAGTTAAACCTCAAGAAGTCAACCCGCTGCTTTTATCCTTGAGCCACTTATTCAAAATTTCAATGTCAATACTTCGTAACCCCTTTCCTCATTTCTTTCTTCAGGCCTTATCCCTTCCAGATAGGTTATATGTAATTACATATTTCTTTTCCATCCTCCCCCTGAATATTCATTCCAGGAGGCAAGAAAGTTTTGTTTTCTTCACGGATATATACGCAAGCCTAGAACATTACCTGAAACATAGCAGGTGCTCAATAAACATTTGCTGAATAAGTGGATGGGTTCTCAGTAAACTGAAATTTGTTAAAAACATCCATTACAATGAATCTGTAACATCATCCCTATGCAGTCCAAGAACGGGGGCGCTTAGAGGGGCCTCGGTAAAGGGTCTAGTGTTTTACTGATCGCTGTCACATCCAGAATGGGTACACTGCGTTTTCTTTTCCAGACACAAATGGCTGCAATTTTTGTAAGCATCGGTGTCTCTGGATGGCATAACTATTCACCATCCATCTGGCACTGAAGTTTGGTTGAAGGACGTGCATCAAAATTATGGGGTCGATTACGGAAAATAACTCCAATTATCTCATGTTATATTGAATAAACAATTATAATGAACATTTCATTATTCAAGTCATGAGTTGGTAAATGCCTAGGTGAGATCTGCCTAAGGCCCCAGAGAGAATCAGTGAATAGTATTTATGCCAACTCATGTGTCTGAATGAGAGACGTTGGGGAAAGGAGACCTAGGGGTTCTTTTCTTCTAAAACTTTGTCTTTATTAGACGTTAACTTTGAGCCCATGAGAAGAATATTTGCACATTTTCACACGGATATCAGTATGGAAGTGGCCCAGGACACCCCAATAGATTCCCCAGCAGTTAAATCACAGACTTTCCTTTTAGGAACCACCTGTGACCCTGCCATCCATAGTGTCTCACTATTAACATGTCGATGTACTTCCCGCCAATCTCGTATGAGTTTTCAATAAAATACGAACATCTAACTATTGGTACACTGATGACCACGGTTTTAATGGTCCATTGTTTTCCACTTCTGTAACTTGATCTTTTATCCTTTTTTTTTTTGAAAATTTTGTCATTTCCTTTATTCATTCATACTTTAAGAAACACTGTGCTGGAGAGTACAACTTATATGCCCATAACTTCATGTTCAGATTAAGATTCAAAGCAGGTCCCAAGATCAGTACATTCCTTTCTTTTCCTTTTTCTTTCTAATTTTTGCGACATGCCTGGAGGGAGGAGAGGGACTCCTGACAATAGCAGATGGGATTATTCCGGAGTACTGATTCTTCAAAGGGATGATACGCTTTGTGTCAGTCTCTTTTCTTGTGAGTGACAATTCTGATGATGGTACAAACCCAACCAATCAACACTGCCAATGATATTGTGTTAATACAAAGACGAGCACTCCTGGGATGCCTGGGTGGCTCAGTCGGTTAACCGTCTGGCTCCTGATCTTGGCTCAGGTCATGAGTTCAAGCCCCGTGTAGGGCTCCGCACTGTCAGTGTGGATCCTATCTCTCCCTCTCTCTTTGCCCCTCCCCTGCTGATGCTCGCTGGCGCTCTCTCTCTGACGTTCAAAATAAACCTAAAAAAAAAAGAAGAGCAATCCCGTAGGCTGTTCCCATTGAGAGCCCAAAAACCTCACCGCATACACACAGTAACAAAGCTCTTTAATAACCATGGAATTAAAATGAAGAGTCTGACAGGCTTTGCTTTGCAGAGCAAGTTGTTTTCCTTGTATGATTAACCTGTGCTTCTATTAGAGCTTTCTGTAGCACAGCGCCACTGACAGAAACAGTTAGGCTTAAGGCTTCTCCCATACCTCTTCTATTATAAATCTTGGCCCCTAGAAGACATGCAATTTCAATATCCTGAAATTTCTCAGTTCCTTGACCTCTCCTCATCCAACGATCTCATCTTCCACACAGCGTAGACCATTCACGCCCACATACCTAAGGATTTGTTCAAACCAACTACTGCAATCTCTCCATAGTGTCAATTTCACTCTCTACCACGTCCTATCTTTCCAGGTTGTTTCCTCCCGTGCCACGATGCCAACAAAATTCCATCTCCACTTGTTCATGACCCTTTGATGTCATTTCTCTTCTCCATACCCAGCTTGTTATTAGTTCATTCAAATTTCTCGTAGATCATAAGAAGAACCCCCTCACGTGTTCCCCTCACTCCCTCCCCCCGCTTTACTCACAGTCTTCTCAGAGTAAAACCACAAAACTACTTCAGTCTAACATTTCCTACAAAAATGCAGGAGAACATGGTTGGGGAGCTAGCCATGATGACTAGTTTCATGTAAGATTCATGCTCATTAATCTCAAGTGAGTCTTCAATGCTGCCTCATAATTCTAATACATTTCCTAGTCCATTCTCTCCCAACTCTGAGGAAATGATCTCGTAACTTTTTCTTCCTCCCTCAAAACTCCCAAGGCCTACTTTCTCATCCTTTGCAACCAACTCGTGACTTTGCTTCCTGTTTTCACTAATAACGTTGAAGTAATCACAGAATTTTCTTACTACAGCACTCCTCTCTGACTTCCTCCTACACACACACACGTGTA